CTAGCAAAGTCAGGGTATTTCTCCAGAATGGTCTGTAATATACCACTGTGGATAAAATACTTAGCCATTTCTTGAACACTTCTGAGTGAGTTGTTTCTAAATTCATTAATTTTATCACACTCCAGTACATAATGACGCAAGGTGTGCCCTTAAGAGCCACGTAAGTTTCCCTGTCTTTTAATAACATGTTCATTTTTCCACTATAATCTACCTTGTCCATAATTACTATCGTATTTGCTGTGTCTGTTTCGTAAGGTGAAGTCCTGGATCTTTCCTTAATTCACGGTATAACTTAAATCTTTGATGACAGTTGTGTTGTAGAGGTCTAAGCCGTGCTCAGACCTCTCCTGAGTTTTGCTCACACCTCTACAACACGACTGTCATCAAAGATTTGTTAAGTTATACCATGAATTAAGGAAAGATCCTGGACTTCACCTTACGAAACAGACACAGCAAATACGATAGTAATTATGGAAAAGATGGATTATATAAGCATGTTATTAGAAGGCAGGGATACTTACGTGCCTCTTAAATACCTGTGTCGTCACCGCTTGTGTCATGGTGGTTCATCAATGGTATTCAATACTGTTATTTTCAAGACTAGAGTTTTTATCATCAGTTCCTGGGGGACTGATTACCTCATCTTCCACTATTTGCTAAATATATTTCTGTTATGTCTATATACTGATGATGCCACTGCATGGCGAAACGTCTACAAGATACCCAGATGTTGCACATGTACCTAGTTCAACATGATGGTGGTTGCTGCTGCTGAGGAACATGGGTCCAAATGTTAGTTGCTATGCAGGTTGATGCCCTCTCATGAAGTGCCTTCACATAACCCTAACATTAATTAACGTTTGTGGAGTTATTTCTCATGTTGTAACATCTTATTTTGTGTGATGTAAATGGGTTAGAAAAGCGACACTTGGGCAACACTGGCTTCTACGGTCCGATACAGAGAAAATGATGGGGTGGTTGAGGTAATCAGTCCCTCACCCTGGAGTAGATGTGTCCAGTCCATTGATTGAACACGTCAATAAATGGACTGAACACTACACCAGGCTGAGGGACTGATTGCCTTAAACTCCTCATCTTACACTGTTCCTCTCTGTATTGGACTAAAGAAGCCACTGGCTGGCGAAACGTTGCAGACTCAAAATACCTAACTGTTACACATGTCTTATCAACCTGTCGGTATTGTATAGCATTTTAATATTCACACACCGACATCAATGATCTCTGGAAGTTCCGTCAGTCCTCCTACCAGTGACATCTTGGATTTATCACACCTCGATTTAGTCGACCTCTGTTTAACGGACGTCGGATATACTGGGCCAAATCTGCTGGGTCACTTGACTCAGAAGAAGGTTTGGGGTCCGTTAAAGTGGTTGGACTTATACTACACCTGACTCAGAGTACATCAGGTGTGTACTCGTGATATTGTGTTTATTACCTGTATGAACCAGACTGGACCTACTAGCTTGCTTAAGGAATGTGTGTGTGTGTGTGTGTGTGTGTGTGTGTGTGTGTGTGTGTGTGTGTGTGTGGTGTGTGTGTGTGTGTGTGTGTGTGTGTGTGTGTGTGTGTTGCACTTGTCATTACCTAGCTGACTCTGCCGTTGTCGAGTCACAGTGCCAAGCCTTTCCTCTTTAAGCTTCTTTTGCCAGACTTTACGTCAAGTTTTGATATATATATTTTTTAAGCTGTGTAAAGTTTGTATAGCTAGTCTGTGTATTGTGTTCCACCGCTATAATACTCTGACTTTGTCGAGAACTTTGCTGATGTCTCAGCTGGTGGTGCTGACGTGTCAGCTGGTGGTGCTAGCGTTTCAGCTGGTGGTGCTGACGTCTTAGCTGGTGGTGCTGACGTCTTAGCTGGTGGTGCTAGCGTTTCAGCTGGTGGTGCTAAGGCTCAGATGGTGGTGCTGATGTCTTAGCTGGTGGTGCTGACGTCTTAGCTGGTGCTAGCGTCTCAGCTGGTGGTGCTGACGTCTCAGCTGGTGATACTTCTGTTGGGTTAATGTATACTTCTGTGTGGTAACTAATTATTCCTGTTAAGTTGATTTTATTCTGGGTACATATACTTGGTATTAAAGGTTAAGGTTGGCTGGTTGATCTTACACTTGCTAGCTTCACTCTGCTTCACTTTGCTTCACTCACTCTGCTTCACTCACTCTGCTTCACTCTCTCTGCTTCACTCTCTCTGCTTCACTCTCTCTGCTTCACTCACTCTGCTTTTCCTGTACCTCGCTCAGTTTTTTCATGCTTTTGCTGGAGTTCAATTACATTAGCTATTTCCGGAGTCTTCTTGTAGCCAGTGACATCCGTGTTGCAGTGTGTGTGTGTGTGTGTGTGTGTGTGTGTGTGTGTGTTGTGTGTGTGTGTGTGTGTGTGTGTGTGTGTGTGTGGTAGTGGTGGTGTGTGTGTGTGGTGTGTGTGTGTGTGTGTGTGTGTGTGTGTGTTGTGTGTGTGTGTGTGTGTGTGTGTGTGTGTGTGGTGTGTGTGTGTAGTGGTGTGTGTGTGTGGTGGGGGTGTGTGGTGTGTGTGTGTGTGTGTGGGAGTGTGTGTGTGTGTGTGTGTGGGGTTGTGTGTTGTGGTTGTGTGTGTGTGTGGTGTGTGGTTTGTGTGTGTGTGTGTTTGTGTGTGTGTGTGTGTTTGTGTGTGTGTGTTGTGTCTGTGTGTTGTGTGTGTGTGTACTCACCTATTTGTGGTTGCAGGGGTCGAGACTCAGCTCCTGGTCCCGCCTCTTCACTGACCGCTGCTGGATCCAATCTCTCCCTGCTCCATGAGCTTTATCATACCTCATCTTAAAGCTGTGTATGGCTCCTGCCTCCACTACATCACTTTCCAGATTATTCTTCTTCCTGACAACTCTATGACTTAAGAAATACTTCCTAACATCCCTTTGACTCATCTGAGTCTTCAACTTCCAATTGTGACCCCTTGTTGCTGTGTCCCATCTCTGGAACATCCTGTCTCTGTCCACCTTATGTATTCCTAACAGTGTGTGCGTGTGTGGTCTAGGAAAGGTAATGACCGTGTATCACGTACACATACATATACAGTAGCGACCAGCAAAGAGGCGGGATCTGGAGCTGTGAATCGACCCCTGCAACCACATTTGGGTGAGCACACACACACACACACACACACACCACACACACACACACACACATACACATACAGTACACACGTACACACACACGTACACACGCACGCACTCATGAAGCGCTAAACCCATTAGAGCTATTATGAGTTGTGTTGATAAGTACATAGACTAAATAGTTGACCCTGTACCTTTTTTCTCTATAACACGAGTTTAATAATAATAATAATAATAATAATAATAAAATTAATAATTATAAATAATATATAATTATAATCAGTAATTAGAAATATCTAATAATTATAATAAATAATTATAAACAATTAATATCTAATAAATAATAATTATAGCAATAGATAATTATAACTAATAATATTGAGTTAATCCCGCGGATGTTACTTTCAGAAAGTTGTAACTATTGTTCACTGCTTTATAAATACAGTTTTGTAAAGCCTTCACTGATGCTGCTCTTGACTCTTCAGCTCTTTAAAGCAAGAGTCGTATGACACTTCTGGGTTTAGCGCTAAGTTAGGAGTCTCATAATATAAACCAAGAGTAGGTATCTGCTGGTCTCTGAAGTACCTCTCTCGTACACCCTTAACCCCGCTCCTGTGACTTGAATGTTCTGCCACCATTATTATGGTTCTCTGGGTGCTGTTATCATTATTATGGTTCTCTGGGTGCTGTTATCATTATTATGGTTCTCTGGGTGCTGTTATTATTATTATGGTTCTCTGGGTGCTGTTATTATTCTGGTTCTCTGGGTGCTGTTATTATTATTCTGGTTCTCTGGGTGCTGTTATCATTATTTTGGTTCTCTGGGTGCTGGTATCATTATTATGGTTCTCTGGGTGCTGTTATTATTCTGGTTCTCTGGGTGCTGGTATCATTATTATGGTTCTCTGGGTGCTGTTATTATTCTTGTTCTCTGGGTGCTGTTATCATTATTTTGGTTCTCAGGGTGCTGTCATCATTATTCTGGTTCTCTGGGTGCTGTTATCATTATTCTGGTTATCTGGGTGCTGTTATCATTATTTTGGTTCTCTGGGTGCTGTCATCATTATTCTGGTTATCTGGGTGCTGTCATCATTATTCTGGTTCTCTGGGTGCTGTTATTATTCTGGTTCTCTGTAGGTGCTGCCACCAATATTCTGGTTGTGTTTGGGTGCTGCCACCAATATTCTGGTTGTGTTTGGGTGCTGCCACCATTCCTCTGGTTCTTTGGGTGCTGCCACCATTCCTCTAGTTCTTTGGGTGCTGCCACCATTCCTCTAGTTCTTTGGGTGCTGCCACCATTCCTCTGGTTCTGTGGGTGCTACCACCATTCCTCTGGTTCTGTGGGTGCTACCACAGCTCCTCTGGTTCTGTGGGTGCTACCACAGCTCCTCTGGTTCTGTGAGTGCCTCCAAGTCCTGGTTGTAGTGCCACCACGCTCCTCTGGTTCTGTGGGTGCTACCACAGCTCCTCTGGTTCTGTGAGTGCCACCACAGCTCCTCTGGTTCTGTGAGTGCTACCACAGTTCCTCTGGTTCTGTGCTGATAGTTGCTTCACGGGTGGAAAAATACTGTGAATGTCGAGGTTGTTAGAAGCATCAGAGGCAATGAAAGGATGACTTGAGTAAGCACGCAAGTGCGTGTCCGTGCGTGTGCGCTCCTGTATGTGCGTGTGTGTCCCTGTGTATATGTGTATGTATCTACGTGTGTGTGTGTGCACACTCACGTAATTGTGGTTTCAGGGATCGAGTCATAGCTCCTGGCCCCGTCTAGTTCTAATGCTACCATTAATATCACTAATACTACTGGTATTGTCACTGCTATGCTCTTAGTGGCTCACCACACGGGTCATTCACATGGTGTGGTGAAGGCTTCGTCCACCAGGTGGTGTGTACTCACCTGTTGGGTTGAGGTTGAGAGTGGAAAGCGGGTAGCGGGTGGAACACGGCATGTGGGTGGAACCTGGGGAGGGGTGGGCGTGGTGCGGGTGGCGACGGTTGCGGCGGCGTCGGCGGCGGCAGCGGCGGGCGGTCAGACACATCCCCGCCACCGCCCGTCGGAAGTTCTGTCCCGTGACGCAGTACAGTAGGAAGTTGATAGCGAAGTTGGTGTAGAAGAGCAGCGTGAAGGTCTGTTGTAGCGTATAGAAGACCACACTCTCGTCACACTGCTCTCCACACTGTTGAAAAACAAGGTTATAAGTCAACACGAAGTCACAAGAACCTTCAAAATGGATAATTACATCCTTCAGAATGGATAACTAGAACCTTCAAAATGGATAACTAGAACCTTCAAAAGTCTTAAGTGTAAAATACTGAGAAAGTCTTGTGGTACAAGATACTGAGAGAGTCTTGTGGTATAAGATACTGAGAAAGTCTTGTGGTACAAGGTACTGAGAAAGTCTTGTGGTACAAGGTACTGAGAAAGTCTTGTGGTACAAGGTACTGAGAAAGTCTTGTGGTACAAGGTACTGAGAAAGTCTTGTGGTACAAGATACTGAGAAAGTCTTGTGGCACAAGATACTGAGAACATTCTTGAGAATGCTCCACCTCAGCTGTCAAGGTGTCAGAGAGTTGTCCTCAGGATAATATGTTTTCTTGACACTTAAGATGAAGTTCCCAGAAACTGTGACCTTTGACTTTGTGTTCCTCTCGTTCCTGTTTACCTTCTCTGCCTTTGTAAACACAACTCATTGTTATTATTTGTATTATGATTATTATTATTATTATGATTTTTATTATCGTACTCTTATTGCTATTATCATTCATTTTATTACTGTTATTATTATTGTTTTTTTTTATTTTACGAGCAAAAGCATTCAGTATGTTAAGCTAACTCTCTCTTCCTCGCTCTCTCGCTCTCTCTCGCTCCCTCGCTCTCTCTCTCGCTCCCTCGCTCTCTCTCTCTCTCTCTCTCTCTCTCTCTCTCATATCTAAAAGCAGTTCCGCTTTTAGAAGGCAGCAAATCAGGTATTTTAGTAAAGGACGTATGAATCGTGGTTGTCGATACCTATTTATTCAAGGATTACCGTGAGTGTGGTGATGGGTGGAGGGTTGAACCTCAGTCACTCCAGTGGAGGGAGGGTTGAACCTCAGTCACTCCAGTGGAGGAAGGTTGTTGAACCTCAGTCACTCCAGTGGAGGGAGGGTTGAACCTCAGTCACTCCAGTGGAGGGAGGGTTGAACCTCAGTCACTCCAGTGGAGGAAGGGTTGAACCTCAGTCACTCCAGTGGAGGGAGGGTTGAACCTCAGTCACTCCAGTGGAGGGAGGATTGAGCCTCAGCCACTCCAGTGGATGGAGGATTGAACCCTAGCCACTCCAGTGGAGGGAGGAGTGAGCCTCAGCCACTCCAGTGGAGGGATTAGTGAGCCTCAGCCACTCCAGTGGAGGGAGGAGTGAGCCTCAGCCACTCCAGTGGAGGGAGGATTGAACTTCAGCCACTCCAGTGGAGGGAGGTTTGAACCTCAGCCACTCCAGTGGATGGAGGTTTGAACCTCAGCCACTCCAGTGGATGGAGAATTGAACTTCAGCCACTCCAGTGGAGGGAGAGTTGAACCTCAGCCACTCCAGTGGATGCAGGATTGAACTTCAGCCACTCCAGTGGAGGGAGGTTTGAACCTCAGCCACTCCAGTGGATGGAGGTTTGAACCTCAGCCACTCCAGTGGATGGAGAATTGAACTTCAGCCACTCCAGTGGAGGGAGAGTTGAACCTCAGCCACTCCAATGGAGGGAGAGTTGAACCTCAGCCACTAAAGTGCAGGGAGAGTTGAACCTCAGCCACTCCAGTGCAGGGAGAGTTGAACCTCAGCCACTCCAGTGCAGGGAGAGTTGAACCTCAGCCACTCCAGTGGAGGGAGAGTTGAACCTCAGCCACTCCAGTGGAGGGAGGGTTGAACCTCAGCCATTCCAGTGGAGGGGAGGGTTGAACCTCAGCCACTCCAGTGGAGGGAGGGTTGAACCTCAGCCACTCCAGTGGAGGGAGGGTTGAACCTCAGCCACTCCAGTGGAGGGAGGGTTGAACCTCAGCCACTCCAGTGGAGGGAGGGTTGAACCTCAGCCACTCCAGTGGAGGGAGGGTTGAACCTCAGCCATCCAGTGGAGGGAGGGTTGAACCTCAGCCACTCCAGTGGAGAGAGGGTTGAGCCTCAGCCACTCCAGTGGAGGGAGGGTTGAACCTCAGCCACTCCAGTGGAGGGAAGGTTGAACCTCAGCCACTCCAGTGGAGGGAGGGTTGAACCTCAGCCACTCCAGTGGAGGAACAGTTGAACCTCAGCCACTCCAGTGGATGGAAGGTTGAACCTCAGCCACTCCAGTAGAGGGAGGGTTGAACCTCAGCCACTCCAGTGGAGGGAGGGTTGAAACTCAGCCTCTCCAGTGGAGGGAAGGTTGAACCTCAGCCACTCAAGTGGAGGAAGAGTTGAACCTCAGCCACTCCAGTGGAGGGAGGGTTGAACCTCAGCCACTCCAGTAGAGGGAGGGTTGAACCTCCGCCAATCCAGTGGAGGGAGGGTTGAACCTCAGCCACTCCAGTGGAGGGAGGGTTGAGCCTCAGCCACTCCAGTGGAGGGAGGGTTGAACTCAGCCACTCCAGTGGAGGGAAGGTTGAACTCAGCCACTCCAGTGGAGGGAGGGTTGAACCTCAGTCACTCCAGTGGAGGGAGGGTTGAACCTCAGCCACTCCAGTGGAGGGAGGGTTGAACCTCAGCCACTCCAGTGGAGGGAGGGTTGAACCTCAGTCACTCCAGTGGAGGGAGGGTTGAACCTCAGTCACTCCAGTGGAGGGAGGGTTGAACTTCAGTCACTCCAGTGGAGGGAGGATTGAACCTCAGCCACTCCAGTGGAGGGAGGGTTGAACCTCAGCCACTCCAGTGGAGGGAAGGTTGAACCTCAGCCACTCCAGTGGAGGGAAGGTTGAACCTCAGCCACTCCAGTGGAGGGAAGGTTGAACCTCAGCCACTCCAGTGGAGGGAAGGTTGAACCTCAGCCACTCCAGTGGAGGGAAGGGTTGAACCTCAGCCACTCCAGTGGAGGGAAGGTTGAACTCAGCCACTCCAGTGGGAGGGAAGGTTGAACCTCAGCCACTCCAGTGGAGGGAAGGTTGAACCTCAGCCACTCAGTGGAGGGAAGGGTGAACCTCAGCCACTCCAGTGGAGGGAAGGTTGAACATCAGCCACTCCAGTGGAGGGAAGGGTGAACCTCAGCCACTCCAGTGGAGGGAAGGTTTGAACCTCAGCCACTCCAGTGGAGGGAAGGGTGAACCTCAGCCACTCCAGTGGAGGGAAGGTTGAACCTCAGCCACTCCAGTGGAGGGAAGGTTGAACCTCAGCCACTCCAGTGGAGGGAAGGTTGAACCTCAGCCACTCCAGTGGAGGGAAGGGTGAACCTCAGCCACTCCAGTGGAGGGAAGGTTGAACCTCAGCCACTCCAGTGGAGGGAAGGTTGAACCTCAGCCACTCCAGTGGAGGGAAGGTTGAACCTCAGCCACTCCAGTGGAGGAAGGTTGAACCTCAGCCACTCCAGTGGCGGGAAGGTTGAACCTCAGCCACTCCAGTGGAGGGAAGGTTGAACTCAGCCACATCCAGTGGAGGGAAGGTTGAACCTCAGCCACTCCATGGAGGGAAGGTTGAACCTCAGCCACTCCAGTGGAGGGAAGGTTGAACCTCAGCCACTCAGTGGAGAGGAAGGTTGAACCTCAGCCACTCCAGTGGATGGGAAAGGTTGAACCTCAGCAACTCCAGTGGAGGGAAGGTTTGAAACCTCAGCAACTCCAGTGGAGGGAAGGTTGAAACCTCAAGCCACTCCAGTGGAGGGAGGGTTGAACTATGCCACTCCAGTGGAGGGAAGGTTGAACCTCAGCACTCCATGTGGAGGGAAGGTTGAACCTCAGCCACTCCAGTGAGGGAGGGTTGAACCTCAGCCACTCCAGTGGAGGGTAAGGTTGAACCTCAGCCACTCCAGTGGAGGGAAGGTTTGAACTCAGCCACTCCAGTGGAGGAGGATTGAAACCTCAGCCACTCCAGTGGAGGGAGGATTGAACCTCAGCACTCCAGTGGAGGGAGGATTGAACCTCAGCCACTCCAGTGGAGGGAGGATTGAACCTCAGCCACTCCAGTGGAGGGAGGATTGAACCTCAGCCACTCCAGTGGAGGGAAGATTGAACCTCAGCCACTCCAGTGGAGGGAGGATTGAACCTCAGCACTCCAGTGGAGGGAGGATTTGAACCTCAGCCACTCATGTGGAGGGAGGATTGAACCTCAGCCACTCCAGTGGAGGGAGGATTGAACCTCAGCCACTCCAGTGGAGGGAGGATTGAACCTCAGCCACTCCAGTGGAGGGAGGATTGAACCTCAGCCACTCAGTGGAGGGAGGATTGAACCTCAGCCACTCCAGTGGAGTGGGGGATTGAACCTCAGCCACTCCAGTGGATGGGAGGATTGAAACCTCAGCCACTCCAGTGGAGGGAGGATTGAACCTCAGCCACTCCAGTGGAGGGAGGATTGAACCTCAGCCACTCATTGTTTATTCAGTAAATTCAATAAGCTGAATGAACAGCGTTGTCTTCCACAAACTAATAATAATAATAATAATAAGAATAATAATAATAATTGAAATAAAAACAGTAGTAATAATGATAATAGTTATAATAATGATAGTAATAATTGTAATAATAGAAATAATGGTCGTAGTATATAATAGTATTAATAGAAATAGTAATAGTAATGATATAATAATAGAAATAGTAAAAACAATAGAAATATTAGTAATGATAATAGTAATAATTATACTAATAACAGTGAAAGTAATATTAATAGTAATAGTAAGGTATAATAATAATTACATGATACTAGTAAAGTATAATAATTACGTGATGCTAGTAAGGTATAATTACGTGATATTAGTAAGGTATAATTACGTGATGCTAGTAAGGTATAATTACGTGATACTAGTAAGGTATAATTACGTGATGCTAGTAAGGTATAATTACGTGATATTAGTAAGGTATAATTACGTGATGCTAGTAAGGTATATATTACGTGATATAGTAAAGGTATAATTACGTGATGCTAGTAAGGTATATATTACGTGATACTAGTAAGGTATAAATTACGTGATGCTAGTAAGGTTATAATTACTGATACTAGTAAGGTATAATTACGTGATGCTAGTAAGTATATAC